AAACATCGCTTCCCTAGCCTCAAAGTGCATATCCTATAATCTATCACCATTACTGATGCTTTGCTAATCTGTAGAACTTTCTGGGTGATAAAGCACTTTTAAAACATTGACCTTCAGGTGCATGAATCAAACTAGATTCATCCAAATCCTTATTTATGAGGTCTCATCACTCCCCACACCTGGCCCATTCTTGCTGCCTGCTCACCAACCCCTTACTCACATCATCTTGTCGCATCTACACAACTGAACAAGGAAGTGGAGGCTCTAAGTAACCAGCCCAGCTTTGCAGTTAGTGAGCTCCAGATCCAATATTTTATCCATGTTCTTCCCATTCCCCTCATCAGCCTGTTCATAAAAGTATAAAAGAAGGAGCCCCTCCAATCACACTAGTGAGGAACTACACAGAACTGGCTGGTGCAGACACTGCTGCAAAGCACAGAACCAGAGTTTATGGAATTGCTTCCAGTCAATTGCCTATTTGACTTCTTTGAATGTGGTCATTCTAAAGATATTTTGCACAAAAGAAGTTGGTACCTGCAGACCCACTAAAATATTCCAGTGCAACAGTAGGAGATAGTTTAAAGTATTCATGAAAAAACTTCTTTTCAGAAGTTACTTCTTTAAAGTGTCAGTACTTCCTTTCTTTACTGGCATTTTCTTTTGACAGATCATTAATAGGTCCTTTATCCCTGTCTTGGTTCCTCTGGTTCTGACTGAAGCCAATCAGGTAACAAAAGGCACAGGAGTTCCATTTATTTAATCTAGAAATAAAATCATATAAAAAAGATTCTTTACATTTTTTACAGGTAATTGATTTCTATTTCTTTGCCTGAAATGATTATCCTCTTATTCTCCTCACATGTTACATTGGTGAAGCAGTTTTACTTTATAGGAACAATGCTCTCAGAAGAATTAACATTTTCTGCTTTGGCTGATGAATTTAGAAAAACTGTCTTATTCACCTAAAATACAAAATCCTCTCTCACACTATACAATTCAAGAGAGTGGGGAACATAAGATTAAAGGAATAGAAATGCTTCTGTGGCAACTGATGTTTACAGAAGTAACAGACCATGGCTTGGGTCCAGATCCTTCAGATACCACCAGTACATGGGTGGCTGGATCAGAAGCCCTGTGTTCAAGCAGAGCTCCAGGCCTACCACTTAACAGTTGACACTGGCAAAACAAGACAGATTGGTCCCATGTCCCATAGGAGGATAAGAGCTCAGTATTGAAATGCCTCCTCCTACTCATAGGCAAAGAAGGAAACAAACACACGATGAAATTTCATAAATGGGTAGGTTCGGTATAAAAGGGAAACATGACTGACACTGGCAATGAGGTACACTTATAGCCAACAGTGATGAGAATGAGAAAAGGGAAGATGCTGTGGCCCTTGGAGCCACTGAATTCAGCCAGAGAAAAGGGGTGCCATGAATGATACAAATGCTCCATCTATGGGGTCAGCCAGGGCAGGTCGAAATCCCAGCTCCACTGCTCTCCAGCTTCACTGCCACAGAGCAAGAACATGAAGAGGCCAGTGCCTGGCACATTCACGCTTTAGTGGGTATGGCCTTCCTTTCTCCCCTCCCTACTCACTTTCTATGATGGTCTTTGGTGTAAGCAAAGCCCTATGTCTTCCAAGGTCTACCTTACTTTTGATGATGTTCAAGTACGTGCACCATGACTAACATAATGAGTACAGAATCACCTCCATTTTTCATTAAATTTACCTAATTAACCCAGAGAGGTTTTAAAAATAGAACTTACCAAATTGTGCCAGAGTTAATTGCATGCTGTTGTCTGTTCAAAACTTCTGTCTGTATGTCAGCCTGTGTCCTAAGAAACAAGATTTGCCCTCACATATGCCCCATTGACTCTTTTCCCCCAAACAGCTGCATCAGCACACCTACCATATTGGCCTCCAAACTGTGTTTCTAACAAAGCCTCCACCCACTGGTTTTAGAACACTGTAAATCAGATCAGGCATATGACTAATTCTCTGGCTGGGATCAGGAATATGAGTAAAGGAGGCCGCTGAAAGGAACTGAGCTTGTAAATGACTTTAATTACTATTTGTAATATATCAATGAGGTTTACCACAAGATAAATAATCAGAACAGCTAACAGTAAAAATAATGAGTGCCCACTTCAGATCTCTGCCTTTCCTGTCCTCGCTATTTCTATTTGCACGCAACACCACTAACACAATGCCACCATCACCAGTCCCAACTAGCCTTAGTTTTCTCCATAGCACAGGTGTATTTACTTCCTCTATTTTATGTCTCACTCTACTAGAATGGAGGTTTGAAGAGATCATCAATTTGTTTGTTTTCCCTTCTACACCCTCAATACCTAAAACACTACCTGGCACAAAGCAGGAGCTCATAAATATTTGTTGAATGAATGGTCAGATCTAATATTTCTCTGAGACCTTCTCTCTAAAGAGAATGGCATGAAAAGTAAAAGCTAATATAATACAAAAATATCAAACAATGCGTTTCTGAGAAACTTCCAAAATAGATGGTATAAACATGTTCTTTACAAACAACATCTTCTGATACCAATTCAAGCATGACTTTTAGCCTTGGTTCCTAACATCCCTTAAAGAAATATTTAATTAAAAAGTTCCTTTCCAGATGTCTGCTAAAACTCTAGGACTATTCAGGCCTGACCCACCCATGTACAATGTGTCAGACATTTAAAACAGCAGCAATGGATATTCTAGTGCCACTTGGATCAATGTCCCACACCCCAACTCCAGATCCACACCCCTACTCCATTGACTTAGCTACCAAACTGCTTCTTTATTCCATGGCTGCAGATTCCTCCAAGTTGGATAATGATGAATAGACTCTTCACAAAGATGTAGAACAATATAGGGTTATGAGAAAAAATATGGGGAATTACACTTCTGATAAAACATGACTGACACTGGCAATGAGGTGCCCTTATAGCCAACAGTGATGAGAATGAGAAAAGGGAAGATGCTGTGGCCCTTGGAGCCACTGAATCCAGCCAGAGAAAAGGGGTGCCGTGAATGATACAAATGCTCCATCTATGGGGTCAGCCAGGCCAGGTCAAAATCCCAGCTCCATTGCTCTCCAGCTTCACTGTCACAGATGGTGATCAGATTTGCCATTTACCTTCCCAAGAGAAACAACCTAAACAGGCAAAATATATAAAACAATGGTTTTCAAGACACTGGACATCAAGGCAACAAAGAATAGGTAAAGAAGAGTGGTAGCAATCTTAGAGATGGGAACAAAATACAGAGGGGGGCTCTATAACAGCCACAGCTTCCTACCTTGAGAATGTGTCCAGGGCTCAATGCAGGGAAGGGTCACCCAGGTGGAGCCTGGTGGATTCCCTGACTTAGGAGATGGAGTTGAGATTCCAGAGACACCAAGGCAGCTAGAATGTGTGGGTCAGACTACCTAAGAAAAAAGAACTACACAAAGAAAAAATACCAGAGTCCAGCAGAGAATCCCACCTGAGAAAAGAGCTATGTGGTATCAGTGTATCTGCATTTGGAAGACGTGGCTGCTTTCACACTGCAACAGCAATAGAGTTGAGTAGTTACGACAGTGACTGCATGGCCCTCAAGGACAGCAATTTAGTTATTTGTCTCTTTACAGAAAAAAAGTGCAACCCTGACTAGCATCATACTCAACAGCAAGAGACTGAATGCTCTCCTCCTGAGATCAGGAATAAGACAAGGATGTCCCCTCTCACTATTTCTTTCCCATTCAACATTATTCTGGAAGTTGCATTCAGTGCATTAAGGCAAGAGAAAGAAACGAAGATCAGAAGGAGAGAAGTAAAACTGTCTTTATTTACAGACAAAAACCTTATAGAATCCACCAAAAGACTACTAGAACTATTCAATCAGTTTGGCAAGCTTACAATATACAAGATCATTGGGTAATAATTCATTCTATACCTCTATAATACCATTTGCAATACAAAAATATACAAAATGGTATTAAATCTGACAAGATTGTCAAGCTCTGAATACTGAAAACTACAAAATGTTGCTGAGAAAAAAATTTAAGAAAATCTAAAATAATGGTAAAATATATTGTGTTTATGGGTCAGAACGCTTGATACTGTTAAAATGTCAATTCTCTCCAAATTTATCTGTAGATTCAACACAATTCAAACACAAATCAAAATCAGAGGAATTTTTTATAGAAACTGACAAACTAATTGTGAAATTTATACAGAAATATGAAAATCCCTAAAGAGCCAAGGCAACACTGAAAAAGAACAAAGATGGAAAACTAATATGACCTGATTTCAAGTCTGATTATATTATAAAGACAGTTTGGTATTAGCATCAAGATAGACAACTATCTGTAAGTAATGTAACAGAATAAGAGTCTTGAAACTGACATATAGAAAACTGATTTTCAACAAAGATAAAATAACAATTTAGTGGAGAAAGTCTAGTCTTCTCAGATGGGGCTGGAACTACTGGATATTCATATGCAAAAAAATTGAGCTTTAATCAATACCTCCCACCACATATAAAAATCAACTTTAAATGAATCATAGACCTAAATATAAATCCTAAAACCTACAGAAGAAAATGCAGGAGAAAATCTTTGTGACACTGTATTAGTTTGCTATGGCACAACAAAGTATACAAACTAGCTGGCTTAACAGAAATTTAGTGCCTTATGGTTTGGGATGCTGTAAGTCCAAGATCAAGGTATTACTGGGTTGGTTCCAAGGACTATGAGAGAAAGATCCTTCCAAGCCTCTCTCCTTGGCTTGCAGAGGGCCAGCTTTACCCTCTGTCTCTTTATATCACCTTCCCTGTATATGTGTTATCTCCCTATCCAAATTTTCCCATTTTATAAGAATAGCAGTCATATTGGATTAGGGCTCACCCTTACGACCTCATGTTAATTTGATTGTCCCTGTAAAGACCATATCTCCAACAGCTATAAATAAGGTCACATTCTGAGGTACAAAGGGTTAGGACTCCGACATACCTTTTCTTGGGGAGGAGGCGAGGGACATAATTCAACCTGTAACAGACACCAAAAGCACAATCCATAAAATAAAAAATTAGTAAATTGGACTTCATCAAAATTAAGACCAACTACTCTTCAAAAGACTGTTAAGAAAATGAAGAGCCAGCCACAGACTATAAGAAAATATTTTTAAATCATGCCTGATGAAGGATTTCTGTCTAAAATACACAAAGACTCTCCAAATGCAATAATAAATTTACCATTTTTAAAATAAGCAAAAGATTTGAGCAAATATTTTACCAAAGAAGAGACACCCAGATGGCAAATAAGCACATAAAGGATGTTCAACATCATCAGATGATACAGAAATACAAATTAAAACCGCAATGAGATACCACTGCTCATCCATTAGAACAGCAAAAATTTAGAAGGCAAATGAAACCGTGTGCTTCAAGGGCATGGAGCAATTGGAACTCTCATATTCTGCTGGTGGGGATGTAAATGGAAAGTAGTTTGACAATTTCTTAAAACTTCAAACATGCAGATACTATATCATTTGGCCATTCCCACTTCTAGGTATTTACTCTAGAAAAGCAAAAGTCTGTGTCCATACAAAAACTTTCCCATGATATTCTTAGCAACATTATTTGTAATAGCCCCAAACTGAAAATAACTCAAATGCCCATCAGCAGTGAATGAATAAAAGTACTGTAGCATTTAATCCAAAGAGTGCAGTAATATTCTACAGTATAAGGAGTGAACCACTAACACATGCAACAACATGGATGACTCTCAGAACAGGTATACTAAGTGAAGGAGGCCAGTTTAGAACGAGTGCACACCATATGAACCCATATTTGAACAATGTGAGAAAATATAAAATAATCCACAGTAATAGAGAGTAGATATTTCATTGCCTGTGGATGGACATACGGGAAGAGAAGGGCAGGGTAGAGCTGGAGGGAGGCATTAAAAAGAGTCATGAGCAAAGTTTGGAAGGTCATGGATATGTTCTTTATCTTAAATGTGGTAATGGTTTTCATGGGTGTATGCATATGTCAAAACTTACACTGCATACATTAAATAAGTGCAATTTATTGCAAGTGAATTATACTCAATAAAGTTGATTTTATTCAGATGGCCTCCTGTTTCATGCCCTGGCTCTATCTCTTTCTAGCTGTGTTACCATAGGCAAGTTATCTCTAAGCCTCACATTCTCCATCTATAAAGTGGTAATTTCTAACACTTATTTTCCAAAGTTACTGGAATAATATCTGACAACTAACTCAATGTCTGAAACATAAAAGACAGTCAATAAATTGTAGCTATTACTAATAATAACAATAAAGTTCCTCATTCTATAAAAGTTACTCATTCCTATAAAAGCTAACTTGAAAGACAAGACATACAGCCCGTATTTTTAGAGCCTAGAAAGCTGTCTTCCCCACTTTCTTATTCAGTGTTTCAGATAATGCTAATGTAAATGAGTTTTGCTAAATCAAAAATGCATTGGCAGAAAATTAAAAGTGTTTTTATGATCCTTTAAAATCATATTTTCAAATGTGAGTAGTGAGTGACCTACACTGTTGTAATAAACAGAATGGGTTTAAATGGTTATATAGTCTCAGCAAAATAATGCTCTTTTATACCTATTTAATCCTCCCTCAAATTCAGTGGGCAAAGTCACATTTCAAGTTTTAAACACACACACACACACACACACACACACACACACACACACACACACACACCTCTCAAAATTTTCAACTTTAAGGTCTTTTTACATATATGTAGTTGAGACCCTCAAGAAAGAAAGCGTGGATGATTGCCGTTGTCTCCCATAGACCACATGGGTGGGCCTGTAAAATTGTGCAAAGAGGTGGCACAGGTCTGAGTAGCATCCTTATAACATGTGGGTGGAAGACCAAGCCTGGGAATGCCTTGAGCACTGCAATAATTAGGAAAAAGGCTAGGTAAACAAGTACTTTGTTGAGATTTCAGAAAATGAAATAAAATTGACATGCAAAAGCATTACCTGTCAAGTCAGTAAGAAGATAGTTTGAAAACATTTAAAACCTATATAGTCAACAAAACAAAAAACTTCTGATGTAATCTAACTAAAAAAATCACACCTTCACAGTTCAGGAAAAACTGACATCACTTTAATGCCTACATATCTGGTTTATTTAGGAGCAAATGCTTCAAGAATTTTTACTTACTGTTTCCTTAACAAATATATTAGAGTTTTTTTTTTTTGACTCTGTGATTATAAAGTACTCATTTATTCCCAGCACACAGTTTCCAAGCAATCTCTTTCCATACAAAGGGACAGGGTCTGCAATTACGTATTGAAATCTCAATTGTACGTATGTTGCTGAAATCCGAGTTCTCTAGGTGTTTATATTAAGAATTTTCAGAGACAAAACAGACATGATTGACTGAACAAATAATCAAAACATGAGGAATCAAATGCTTAGTTGGCAATATTATGGTAGCCCTTTAGTTTGTGGGTCTTTACAAATGTAATAACATTTTTAATAATAATGGTGCCCAATATGTAGAGGCACTGAGGTTTATGTCCTTTTGTGTAAGGTTTCAATAAAGCTCAAAATCAATAAAGTTATCTGACTCCTGTCCTCTCCTGAGCAATGTGCTACAACACAGCTCTCCAATCTGGACCTGGGTTTGAATCTGCAGAAAATTTCCTAGCTCTTTGACCTTGGGCGACTTACTTAACCTCACGCAGTCTCAGTTTCTTCCTATTTAAAACAGGCATAAAAATAGTATATTTTATGGCATGGATTAAATGAGATAAAGCTTACGAAGTACTCAGCACAGTGTTTTGCAAAAGAAACTATTTGGTATTAGCTTCTAATTAAGGTGGCCACATTTCTAGTCCACTGTCTAACCCCTTAGAAAGAGAATAAATTTGATGGAGCTGGAGTCAAAATTAGGAATGTATTTCATACATATAGGAAAACCAGATCAAAAATGAGAAAAAAAATCCATTTTCTAAATCAATTATGTGAAATGGATCTGGTTGCCATCATCAACTTAATTACAAATCAGATTAGGAGGCCAGAAAACTGTTCCACTGCTTGAGAAATAACCAGTTTGCTCAGTCAGAAAATCCCAAATCTCCACGTTATGCTAACTGAGATGGCACTGGAATGAAGTTCATGATTGGACAGTATGTGATTTCTTCCTAACCAATGTTGCCATGAAAGTCCCAACTATCTCATACAAATTAAGTCATTTGGGTTTTAAGATATCATGTCCAAATGCTAGGGGCAAACTTAAATGAGTTCAAACCCTGGGGAAGGAGACACTGCTGAAAAGCACACAATTTAAAGGAAACCCCAGTTCTCCATGCCAGCCTGTCTCATCACCAGTATTTTTAATGCCAAATGGCTAAATTGATGCTCTATTTCTCTGCAAGCTGAAAGAATACAGGCAACTACTGTTTAAGATAAAACAAGCTGAGGAAATAGGAAAGAAATTACTGTAATTTCTCATATCTCCCCCAGCTCATGGAAGTCAGGCACTAGAAACAATATTTTGACCTTTGATTTCTAAATAAAAGATACCATAAAGGAAAAGACTGATTTTTTTTTTTGCTAATATATTTTGCTGCTGAGAAATTTTATTTTCTAAACATCAAAAAAAAAAACACAAGAAAACCTTAAATGATAAACTAGATGCAAATGCAAAAAAAGAGAAAGCATTAATATTCTTAAGTATTAAAGAGCTTTTAGATGGAAATACGGGTAAAAATATGAATAGGTATTTCACAGAAGAAAAATTATAATCATTGTTGACACATGTTCAATCCCACTGATAATCAGAAAGAGGCACACTTAAGCTAAGTAGGATCGGTTGCCCATCAGATGTAAAATACGAAACATCAGTGGTAAGCATATTGAAACTTCCTGGAGAACAATTTTTTAATACGTAGTAAAAGCTTTTCAGATATTTCATACTACTTGAATTCTCACTAAAGTAACTTTTTCCTTTGCCCAAGAAAATATTGGAAAAGCACATAAAACATCAAGGCATTTTTGTCTTAATTGTTCTCAATATTATTACTATTATTACTATTATTTATCATGTAAGAAATACATGGTAGAAGATAATAATAATAATAACCATTGTTGAGACTTTACTAGGTGTCAGGCACTCTATCATTTAGTACTCACAGTAACTATGAGATAGGCACTGCTATTCTCCCCATTTTACAGAGAGAAAAACAGACACAGATGAAACAGCTAAATAATTTGAAAAAGGACACACAGCTGGTAAATGCTGGAGCCAGGATTTTGACCCAAGCAGGCTGATAATACAACCTGCGTTCTTAACCATTATACTACACTTGACTATGTCTTGTTCACAGGAAACATACAAATTTAAAAGTCAAATGTTAACCATACAGTTACCACATGACCCAGCAATTTCACACCTAGCTATATCATCAGTAGGAATGAAAACATTAAAAATATGTCCTCACAAAAACTTATATAAGAATGTTCATAGCAGCATTATTCAAAATAGCCAAAACATGGAAACAACCCAAATGTCCATCAACTGAGAAATGGATAAAGTCTAGTTTAGTCATACAATGGAATATTATTTGGTAGTAAAAGGAGTAAAACACTGACACATGGTACACATGAATGAATCTTGAAAACATTATGCTAAGTGAAAGAAGTCAGTCACAGAAGACCACATATTATGGTATGTCTCCATTTACATGAAGTGTCCAGAATAGGCAAATATGTAGAGACAGATAGTAGATTAGTGGTTGCCTAGCACTGAGGGAGAAAGGGAGGCAAGAATGGGAAATGAATTCTAATGGGTATAAGGTTTCTCTTTTGAGTGATAAAAGTATTCTAAGCTTACATTTTGGTAATGATCACACAATTCAGAGTACACGAATCCATTGAACTGAACACTTTCAATGAGTGAAGTTTTTTGTTACTGAATTACACCTCAATAGAGGTATTTAATATTTTTTCTAATTTCCTGACAACTCTGAGCTTGAGTTCCTAGGATGCCCT